ATATATATATATATATATATATATTTAAAGTAAATATCAGTGACATAGCAATGTAAATAACGACACTGACAAATTATGCTTTAGGGTTCGATTGGTAATGGCTGTAACTTTAAAGTTTTTGCTGTAGAAAAAAAATTGTAGATTTTTTATGTAGCTTTAGATTTTATTGCTGTATATTTTTTTTGAAAACACTAAAAAAATGTTTTGGATATTTGGTTCTGCAGAGCACTTGTATAGCTGTAGATCATTTCAAGAGCTGTGGTTTCAAAAAAAACTTAAAGCTTGATTGTTATGAATTTAGTGATGTAGAAATAAATAGGGATGTGGACAATACCTACAGCAACTACTAATCACCCCTTTAATAGTATAAATATATTTAGTTAGTTTATAGATTTCATATTCACAAAATTATTTTTAAAATATCAATGAAAATTTTTTTAAGAACTATTATCCTATTTTAATTGTCACATTTTTATATTTTGAAAAATACTTTAATTAAACATATGTTTTCTTCAAACAATAAAACACATAAAGTTTATAAAATACTTAACATATATATATATATAATTTTTTATTAAAAATTTAATTTTCAATAAATATAATTTTGTTTAAAAATCACTTTTTAAAAATATTAATTAAAATATAAAAAATATTTAACAAGATAACAAATCTTAAATTTGAACAACAAAAATGAAACAGACATCGTTGAAATCACACATGTTAATTTCTGGTAGAAAGTTAAGATCTAACAAGATAACCAATCTTAAATTTGAACAACAAAAACGAAACAAACATCCTTGCCGTCACACATATCAAATTCTAGTAGAAAGTTAAAATCTTTTTTTTTTGTAATACAGAAAGTTAAGATCTATGTCAAGTGATAATTACCTATGTTGCACGGAAGCTTCATCGGACGTGCGTTTCCTGCTTCAGAACCGAAATTGGAATCAGCACCTTGTGGAAGCTTGCATAATCTGAATTCCAAATCACTTCTAAAATAACTTATATAAAAACATTTTGGAAGCTTACAATTCCACTTTGGAATCACGCTTCCAATTTTAAAACACAATATCATATATATATAAAGGAAATATAAAATCATTTTTATGTTTTTACAGTATATAATAGTATATTTAGTGAGAATATACATATGTAAATACGAAAATTAATACTATAAATCATATGTATGCACTATTTTTATTAGATATATATATATATATATATATATATATATATTCAAATATGCTTCACCAGTTATTGATAGAATATTAAAAATAACTAAGTGGTAATATTTGTTTATAAACTTAATTTATCCGTATTTTCACAATTATAATATGCAATCATTTAAAAGTATAATAAATGAATAAAAACTTTATTTTAAATTATAATCATATAATCCTTAGTTATAAATTATATATATATATATGTGTGTGTGTGTTTGTGTGTATTTGGATATACGCTTCCAATACGTACCCGCTTCTTAATCTTTTTAAAAATCTTGATTCCGCGCTTCTATACGATTCCGTTTCCGTCCCGCTTCCGTTTTCATGTAACATAGATAATTACAATACAAGATTAGTGTTGTGGTTCAAAAAAGTAAAATTACAAGACTAGTCAAAGAAGCATCTTTTCCTTTTATTTCTGTTTTAGTTTAACTAGATTGAAATGGTGGGTATATTTTTTGTTTAACATATTTTATTAAAATTTTGATTTTTATATTTGTGTCTTTCTTTGTAATCATATTTATGTTTTTATTTGTAATTATGTTTTTGTTTTTCTTTGTAACCATATATTTGTTTTTCTTTGTAATTATGTTTTTGTTTTTTTTTTTTTAAATTATTAGTAAGAATTTTGATAAGTGTATTAAAGTAGTGAGGTTACATAATTATACATTTGTGTCATAGCCATTTGATACATTAATTTTATAGTTAAATTTTAAATATATATTATTTTAAAAATAATAAAATCTAGTTACAATTTTGTTTATTAATTAAATAGTAAATAGTAAAAATTATATATTTTCTTATTTAATCATAATATTATTATTATTACACATAATAGTATACATAACATTACATCAATCAAAAAAAAATATTACACATTATAATATGTAATGCAAGGCCCATGGCCCAATTGTATTTCATCTCCCGACAAATGAGTTGATTTGTCTTAAGCTAATTTTTCTTATCGGTGGAAGATAAAAAAAAAAAAAGTAAAAGAGGTGGTTATACGAAAGAAGCATTATAATTAATATGTAGGTATAATTATATTTTTAAGTTAGACCTAACAGGGCCGGCTCTGAGAATTATGGGGCCTAAGGCGATTTTGGAACGATTTCACCTAAAAAAAATTTTCTACGGATTTGGGGGCCTAAAAAATTTTTTTTGGGGGCCGATATACATGTAAATTTTTCAAAAAAATTTGGGGGCCGAGGCTAATGTTTCATCCGGCTTTGCCCAACGCCGGCCCTGAGACCTAACAAATAATTAATTGGCCATGTTCCAGTTTTAATAGTATCGATCCTCAGATTTTCAATTGTGAGGTTGATACTTAGCCAAACTAACTCTTAACGTGAATGCTATTGAAGCCGTCTAATTCAATATTACATGTCATGCTTTCTATATGTTTCATGATATGAGTAGTGTATAAATAATGATGGTCACGCTTTTTTCCTTTCTTTTCATATGGAGTTATTATTTTCAAAGGCTTTGGAGTCTTTTTTTTTTTTTTACGTGGAAAGTCGGTTTTGGTCAAATTCAAAGAAATATTGGTTTCGAATTTTAAAATTTATAGAGATAATATATATATATATATATATATATATATATATATATATATATATATATATATAAATACTAGTAACCTAAATCTAAATTTTCGAAAACTTATTTAAGATTAATCATAGACCAGCTTTTCAGTATTGCATAATGGTTCAGTGTTTAATAATTTCCTAAAGAGTACACATCAATATTTGTACACTTTTAAATCAGGAAAAATGTTTTTTTAGGCCAAAAAATGGTAACATTGTTTCTTTAGACTAATTTCTTTTTTGTACCATTTTTATCTTATAATGCCCTTTATTAATTTTTAAAATAAATTAAATAAATAGTTTTAGAAACATAAGAAATCAAAAAATAATAACTAGTTATGAAACACCAATATCAATCTAGTGATATGGTTTTCAAGTTCTAAAAATGTATAAATTTTTTTTTCAAATTATGTTCTACATAAAGTAGAAGTGACATTCTACAAAGTACAAAATGAAATTCACTTTTTTCATTGAATCTACTATTATTAGAATACATATTTCGCACTTAAACTATCCTTCTAAAATTAGTAGAAAACGTATTCTACACATTACTATAAAATCTAAAATAAGCAAAAATCAGAATCTACACATTATTATAAATCTAAAACATGCAGAATCTGATTTCAAACATTATTATTGTATTCTACGTATAGTAGAATACATATTCTACAAGTAAGAATATTCTGTTCCGCAAATATAGGAAGAAAATATTTGAAAATATTCAACTTCCATAAATAAAACCGATTTTTTGATTAAAAATTAGAAAAAGACTATTTTTTTTAAAGTAAAAAAAAAAAATTGGGGAGCTCACGCCGGATGGATCGATCGGACGGATCGACCGACTATTTCTGGGATCGATCGATCCCGTCAGGGAAAGCAGTTTCTTCTTTTCATTTTTTTACGATTTGAGGATTTTTATTTATAATTTGTTTACGATTTTTAATTGAATTTAAAATCATTATTGTAATTTAGAAAATATTTAACTTAATGAGACATAAAGTAATAGAGATTAGCATAAAGAGACAATGTTACCATTTTTCTGTCCTAAAAAAACTAGTTCCTCTTTAAATCATTTAACTACTTTCAAAAAGTTCAAAACAATTTATTTTTGTAAAAGCAAGCAATAGAACTCTTGCGCGCTATATATAGTAATATCCACCTATACATTAAAAGAGAAGTCACTTTGACACGTGGCACTCACACAGTCCTTCTCAGAAGAATTCTAGCGATTCTATTGGTTGATTTTTTAGAATTTATTTTTTGATTTATTTTTACCATCGACACTACTAAAAAGGAAATCCATTTAAATACTTACCTTTTTTGTTTTCTCGATTCAAAGAATATCCTTTTGCGATCCTTTCTCTGTTTAATTCATTAAATACGCATTAAATATTTTAGATGTCAGAAAAACAAAATTAATAGTGTGTAATAGATGACAGGGAATAAACCGCTTCGGTATCATTAACTATAGTATTATGTAAATTTATACCCCAACATTCCTAAAACTAAACCATAACAATAGGGGAACTGTTTGCCACCAAAACCCGAAAAATCCAACCCCTACCTAAATTTTTTAATATCATTTACAGATTAGTAAAATCGCAAAAATGCTATCAACAATATTTTTGATAATATCTTATTCTTATACTATATTCTAAAAATTCAGATTTAAATTAGAAAACATTTAATAAATAATTATTTTTAATGTTTTTGACTAACAACTCACGGACACTTCAAAATTTGATTCCGATGGTATATTCTAAATTCGTTACGAGCTGTTTAACTATATGATTTTATGCATAAAATTAATATCTGACTATTATTTAAAATCCTTAAGAATGCAAATCGTTTAGCTTGGCCATGAAGAATCTCTATATAATAACTACTCAAAAATATTTTTTCTTTAAATCGTAGATATTATAAAGATTTCTGTACCAAACGAATTGTAAATATTGCTAAGATATGTAAATTTTTATTAGCAATATAGTTTCAAATATTTTTGCTTGATCAATACTCTAGGGATTTCCTAAACTGAATCCGAATATACTAAAGATTTTGTTTAAGCGTCAGTTAGAAGCCATCGACTAACCTACTGCTATATAAAAACCCATAAAGTGCCAAAGTTTTCTCAAATCTATTCACAGCTACATTAGCTACACATAAAATCCATGCCTCTTGCAAGAAGACTTACATGGAAAATAAAGGACACCTTCTTCCTGTTGAAGCATGGAGACACATTCAGAATTATAGCCTCAGTCCTGCAACCGGATCCTATCGAGCAACCGATCATTCCTACAAAATGAGTATTGTCAATAGTACAAAAACACAAGATCTCTTCTTGTGAATGAAAACATGTTCCTAAGTTTGGTAGAATTTCCGTCTCTGTTTTGAGTGGATCACTCAACCCAAATTTTCTCATTCGTAATTTTTACATCGATGTATTTTATTATATTTTCAGTAACTGAAACGCTAATTTTTAAATTTTTTTTGCAGATGTGATTGGTCAGGTTATGGACTTGGGAGTGCTTGAAACTATCCAAGTCGCAGTGAAGTTTACACCTCGCGACATCAAGTAATTTTTTTTATCTCACGTTTATTATTTTGAGTGATCCTTCAAGTTCATATTAATTCAATACTTATTCTACTTTTAATAATAG